GTGGATGCATGACAAGGTATGGCTCCCCCCTTGCTGGCTGCGGTCTGGCATTGGCAGCTCATGTTCATCTTGGAGTCAATAATAACTCCAAGAACCCTTTTCCGCCTCTGTGCTTTCAAGAAGGGAACTCCCCAGCCTGTATGTATGCTGTGGATTTCTTCTCCCAAGGTGCATTTGTCTACATTGAACCCCATCCTATTCTCGTCTGCCCACTTTTGTAGTCTGTCTAAATCTAGTTGCAGCCTCTCTCTCCTTTCAAGTGTGTCCACCTCGCCCCACATCTTAGTGTCATCAGCAAACTTGGACAGCGTGCTTTCCACCCCCTTGTCCAAGTCGCTGATGAAGATGTTAAATATTACGGGCCTCAGGACTGAGCCCTGGGGTACCTCACTGCTCACATCTTGCCAGGTTGAGTACAACCCGTCCACCACTACTCTCTGGGTGTGCCCCATCAGCCAATTTTTACCCATAGGTAATATATTTGGAGGGTCCCCCTGCTTCCCTCTCAGTTCTTTAAAAAATAAATTCATGGAATAATTTTCAGTGGAATGGTCATTTCATATGAATTTTTGTAGTGATGGACTCTATATTAACTATTACCACAGAAGAAAGATATGGGAGTCATTGTGAGCAGTTTGCTAACATTAGCTCAGAGCTTAGCAGCTGTCAAGAAGGCAAAAATGTTAGGGATTATTAAGAAAGGAATTGTAAACAAAACTGAAAGTATCATTATGCCCTTCTATAAATGCATGGTGCACCCACACCTTGAATACTGTGCCCAGTTCTGGTCTCCACAACTCAAAAAGGAGATAGAAGAACCAGAGAAGGTTCACAGAAGAACAACAAGGATGACTAGTGGTATGGAGGGGCTTCCATATGAGAAGAGACTAAAGTGGCTAGGTCAATTCCGCTTAGAAAAGCGACATTAGAGCAGGTACAAGATAAGGGTTTACAAAATACTAAACAGTGAAGAGCAAGTAAATAGGGATTTATTATTTACTATCTCTCATAATACAAGAACTAGGGTTTGCAAAATGAACCCAGTAGGTAGTAAGCTTAAAACGAATAAAAGGAAGTTCTTTTATGTAGTGTGTAATCAAGTGTGGAACTCATTGCCACCAGATGTGGAGGTCAGATTCAAAAACAGACAGGACAAATTCTGGGAGTAGAGAGGCATCAGTAGGTATTGAACATGGGTGTTAGGGATACAGTCTCTGAATCAGAACTTCCTAGATCTTAAATGCTGGAGACTGCAAGTGAGAGAGGAACAGTGGAAAAGAAACCAAACCCTGGTCATACTGAGTTCACTCTCCCTTTCAATATCCACTCTTCCACTATGCACCACAGGATACTGGGCAACATGGACCTATGGTCTGATCCAGTAAATGGCAGTTCTTATGTTCTAATGCTGTTTTCCCCCCTTTTTTCCTTTCTGGTTCCTTCGATATTTTTCATGGAAAATCTGTAAAGGTATGTGAGGAAATTTTTTCCATGAAGATGTGGGCTTCCTGTTTTGCACATTTTTAGAAGGCTATACCAACCAAAAAGACATGTTGACTTTGCTTTGCATAGAATCATAGAATAGTATAGCAGGAAGGAACCTCCAGAGGTCTTTTAGTCCAGTGCAGGGCAATCTTTTCAGCAGGCATGCCACAAATTAGCCCTATGTCCTCCCTGAGTGCCATTCTGATCCCCTACCTCTGCTTGATCTGCTGCTCTGCTTTCTGCTTTTTGCCCTACCAGCTGCTGTACTGCATGCCACCTCCCCAATCTGTGTGCCCCCCACAGAGGCTGCCCATGCAACCTGTGGCATACGTGCTGAAGTTTTGCCACCCTGGATCTAATCCAAACCCTGCCTGAGGCAGGATCATCCCTATCCAAAGTATCCTATACAAGTCCTTAGAATCATAGAAAATTAGGGTTGGAAGGGACTTCAGGAGGTCATCTAGCCCAACCCCCTGCTCAAAGCAGGACCATTCCCAACTAGATCATCTCATCCAAGGCTTTGTCTAGATGGGGTTTAAACACCTCCAAGGATGGAGAGTCCACAACCTCTTTGGGTAACCTGTTTCAGTCTTTTACTACCCTCCTAGTGAGAATGTTTTTCCTAATATTTAATCTAAACTTCCTTTGCTGAAACTTAAGGCCATTGCTCCTTGTTATGTCATCTGCCACCACTGAGAACAGTATAGCTCCATCCCCTTTTGAACGCGCCCCTCCAGGTAGTTGAAGGCTGCTATTAAACCTCCTCTCAGTCTTCTCTTCTCTTGACTAAATAAGCCCAGTTCCCTCAGTCTCTCCTCAGAAATCATGTACCCCAGCCCACTCATCATTTGCATTGCCCTCTGCTGGATTCTCTCCAATTTGTCCACATCCTTTCTGTAATAGGGGGCCCAAAACTGAACACAGTACTCCAGATGTGGCCTCACCAGTGTTGAATAGAGGGGAATAATCACTTCCCTTGATCTGCTGGCAACACTCATACTAATGCAGCCCAGTATGCCATTAGCCTTCTTGGCAACAAGGGCACACTGTTGGCTCCTATTCAGCTTATTGTCCACTGTAAGCCCCAGGTCCTTTTCTGCATGGCTACTGCCCAGCCAGTCAGTCACCAGCCTGTACAGGTGAATGGGATTCTTCCGCCCTAAGTGCAGGACTTTGCACTTGTCCTCATGAGATTTCTTTTGGCCCAATCCTCCAGTTTGTCTAAGTCACTCTGAATCCTAGCCTTACCCTCCAGCATATCTACTACTCTCCCCAGCTTGGTGTCATCTGCAGACTTGCTGAGGGTACACTCTATGCCATCTTCCAGGTTGTTGATAAAGACATTGAACAAAACTGACCCCAGGACCGACCCCTGGGACACTCCACTTGACAATGGCTACCAACAAGACAGTGAGCCATTACTACCCTCTGAGCCTGATGCTCCAGCCAGTTTTCTGTCCACCTTACAGTCCATTCATCCAGTTCATACTTTATTAGCTTGTCTGCAAGAATGCTGTGGGAGATCTTGTTAAAAGCCTTGCTAAAATCAAGGTATATCTCATCCACCGGTCTCCCTGTATCCACAGAGCCAGTCATCTCATGGAAGGTAATCAGGTTGGGCAGGCATGACTAGCCCTTGGTGAATCCATGCTGACTGTTCCTAATTCCCTTCTTCTCCTCCAAGTGCTTAGAAATGGATTTCTTGAGGATCTGCTGCATGATTTTTCCAGGGACTGAGGTGAGACTGACTGGTCTGTAGTTCCTTTTATCCTCCTTTTTTCCTTACTTTAATATTGGCACTATGTTTGCTCTTTTCCAATCATCTGGGACCTCTCCAGAGTTTTCAAAGATGATGGCCAGTGGCTCTGCAGCTAGCAAGAGATGTGCCATCCCATCCAGCCCCATTGACTTGTCCATGTCCAGTTTTTCTACATAGTCCCTAACCCAGCTGTCCCCAAACTGTGGGTTGCAACCCAAATGGGGTCACAACATCAGTGGTTGGGGTACAAGATTTCAGCGCCCACGGCAAGGCATGGGGTTGCAACGGGGTTGGAGCAACTCCAGGCAGGAGCTGGCCCAATAGCCCAGTGTTTGGGACTCAGCGCAGGAGGAAGCACCACACCACCAAGGCCGCCAAAGTAAGATGCAGAAGTGGTGGCTGCACAGAGTGTGCCTCCACCACTGCTGGGCAGGCAGGGGGTGGCTCAGCTTGGCAGCCATGGCAGTGTGGCACTCTCTCCCATGCCGGGTCCCACCCACTAAGCCATGGAATCTCTGGGGTGAGGGCAGAAGGGCAGGGAGCCCTAAGCCCACAGCAGGCAGCCTGCATCCTTCCTCCCACCCCAGGCTCTGCTCCAGCTGTGCCACTCCCAGGGGAGGGGATGGGGGGAATTGGGGGTGGGGGATGGGCTCCATACTCTACTCTGGCCGCAGCAGCTGCCCTCCCATGGGCAGCAGCCGGGGCTTGGGTGCTGCTGGGGGAGCGGGCAAGGGGCTGTGGGCCCTGGTTCTGGGGAAGCTGGGGAGGGCCAGGGGCCTGTGGGTAGGGAGTGAGGGGCACCTGGGAGGGTAGGGAGCTGCAGGTTGGGCATGAAGGGTCATGCTGAGGAAATGGCGTAATGCTGAGGAAATGGGGTCATGACAAGGAAAAGTTTGGGAAGCACTACTCTAACCTGTTCTTCTGCCACTGTTGGCTGCTTACCTCCTCCCAAACTGGGCTGCCCGGTGCAGTAGTCTGGGAGCTGAACTTGCCTGTGAAAACTGAGGTGAAAAAGACATTGCGTACCACTAGAGGTCTTAGCGCAAACTGGGTGACTGCCCAGGGCCCCACATTTTAGGGCACACCAAAATTTTGAACCTAGAATATAACTCAATGTTAAAAAACTCTTTCTTTGTATTGTATTGTACTGTATTGTACTATAGTATTTCACAGTATTAAGATACTTTCATGGCAGTTTCACAGATAGGGCAAAGTAAAATTGAAATTGAAAATGTCCAACTTGCTTATAGGTCATCAAAATTAAGCCTCTAAGGGTCCCCAAATGACTCTCTTGCCCAGGGCCCCAACAACCTTAAGGCGACCACTGTGAGTACTTCAGCCTTTTTGCATCCTTTGTCACTAGGTTGCCTCCCCTATTCAGTAAGGGACCCACACTTTCCCTGATCCTCCTCTTACTACCTACATACTTGTAGAAACCCTTCTTATTACCCTTCACATCCCTTGCTAGCTGCAGCTCCAATGGCATTTGACCTTCCTGACTTTATCCCTGCATGTCTGAGCGATACTCTTATATTCCTCCCTAGTTGGTTGTCCCTGTTTCAACTTTTTATAAGCTTCCTTTTTGTGATTTAATTTACTGAGGAATTCCCTGCTAAGCCATGCTGGTCTTCTGACACATTTGCTAGTCTTCCTGTATATCGGGATGGTTTGTTCCTGCACTCTCAGTAAGCCGCCTTTAAAGTACAGCCAGCTCTCCTGGACTCCTCTCCCTCTCAGACTGGCTTCCCAGGGAATCCTGTCCATGAGTTCCCTGAGCAAGTTGAAGTTTGTGTGACGGGCTAGCTCAGGGGCGAGCAATTATTTCGGGTGGAGGGACGCTTACTGAGTTTTGGCAAGCCATCGCGGGCCACATGACAGACAGCTAGGGGCAGATGAATATTAATTTTCTAAATTTTTTAGGGCCCCCATGGGCCAGATAGAAGGGCCTGGCAGGCCGCATCTGGCTCATGGGCCGCATTTTGCCCACCCCTGGGCTAGCTGGTGGCGACTTGGCCCGGAGTTTTTGAAAAGTTCAAAAATGATTGGTAGCGGGGATTTCCTTTTTCCTACTGATCAGGCCCCAGAAAAGGAGAGCGTTTGCCCCCCCTCACCCATGGGCCAGGTAGGGAAACCGGACCTGAGACTAGACTCACTTTTTATGTTGCCTGATTGGTCCCACCAGCTACCTGGAGGGGGATAAAAGGGGCAGCGAGCCTGGCCCCAGGAAGAAGAGATACCCAAGGGATGAAGAAGAGAGGCCCTGAAGAGCTGGTGAGAACTGACCAGTGGGGGAGAAGGGGTTGCCCCAGAAGAGCCCTGAAGCTGGCAGAGGGCCCGAGCTGCAGGCAGTGGCTTGGTTCAGTGGCAGTGTTGTGTGGGGTGGCGTGTGCAGCAGATCTCCTTCTGGGACCAAGCCCCAAGCTGCAGGTAGTGGCTCAGGCATCTGACCGCTGGCAGGGAAGCCAGGAGCTCGGCACGCAGGGTGGCGTTCAGGGAACCTCCCAGCTGGGACTCTGGTAGGAGCTGCAGAGGGCAGCTCCCCTCAGCACGCAGGGTGGCATGTGGGGAATCTCCAGAGGGGACTCTGGCTGCCAGGACTCCAGGCTGCAGCGTGGACTTGACTACCATCTTCCCCTCCCCGGCACGTGGCCAGCACCGGTGTACAGGTCGGTCCATGGGGTGTCCTGGGCCCATGCTAGGTGGCCTGGGCCCCCCAGCACCCCTGGGCAGAAGGCAGGGGCTCTCTGGAGTGAGGGAGAGAGCCACTCTGAGCTGTGGGTGGCAGCTTGGGCTTTCCTTTCCCTGGTGTGAAGCTGGGCGGCTGGTTTGGTGTACAGACAGCGTACAAAGGATCCTGGAGGGACTAGAGCCTAGAGCCGCAGGCAGTAGTCTAGGCTTTGATAGCTCAGTGGTAGAGTTTCTATCTGCCTGTGGGTACCTTCTCTTTACTGAATCCCCCGTTGTTCTCCTGCACACATTGCCCCCTCCCCTCTCCCACCTGTGGGTAATATCTTTACCTATTAAACCCATATATGGTTAAGTTCCAACTGGTCTTGGCTCTGCTCTATAGGGGATAGATAGGAGAGGAGCGGCTACCCCTCCCACAGTGTACTAGCATTTACTAAATCCCTTCGATTGGAGAGGGGGTACCTGGTCTGAGTACCACCCAAGTTATATCTGTTTTTCTGAAGCCCAGGGTCCTTACTCTGCTGCTCTCCATCCTTACTTTCCTCAGGATCCTGAACTCAATCATTTCATGGTCACTCCTTGTCTAACTTATTCCTAATACTACACAATCAACCTGGTCACACAACTACAAGGCATATTGGCCCAAAACACCAAAAACACCCTAATCTGCCACAAAAAAGCAGGGGGGATGATGACAATCAGTGTCCTGCTGCTGAAAGGGCTGTTAAAGTACACTCCTGGGAGGGGGATCATTTCTGCTTTGTTCTAAACCAGTGATAATCAATCAGGGTGCTGCAACACACTGGGATGCCTTGAAGTCCTTTCAAGGGAGCCACAGGGTGCCACACAATGTTAGCACTGTTGGGTGTGCAAACATTGTTCACATGATAAATCCAGAGATTTCAAAAAAGAGTCCACAGTGTGAAAAAAACATTCTGACCTGTTGTGGTCTTTCTGAGTTCTCTACAGCAGAGGAATTGCTCTATTTTTTTCTGTAGTCAAAAAAAAATGTGATAACTAAAAGCTGGCATTTTCCAAGGGGTGTCTTGCATTTATTCAGAGGTGTCTCAACACTATCTAGGGGTGGCTTGAGTCTAAAACAGGTTGAAAACCACTGTTTTAAACCTTCTTGATATTTTTTTAATGAAAGAAAAGTTTTCCGTTTTTTTCTTTTTACTTTCCTTTGACATTGCCATAAATTTTTACCCCAAACCCACACTACACTGAGGTGAAAAATCTCCATTTCAAGAAGAAACAGGAACTTCCATGTCAGTGGGCACATTTACATGAGACACTGGCTGTGCAGTAGCCAAATCATACTGTGCAGTACCATGTCACAGCACCAACAGTGCTAATATGCTGCTGTGCAGTATTATTAGGCTACTGCTCAGTAGCGTCACTTAAAAGGTGTTTGCCGGTGCTACTGCACAGTAACTACAGGTACTGTGCATTTATTTAGTACTTGATTATACAAGTACTAAATAAATGTGCAGTAACCACTGTGCAGTAGCGTCTCATGTAGATGCACCCAGTGTGAGGCAAATCCAGAAAGTTTCAAAGGAAACTATAAAAATAAGAGAGAGAGGGCGGACATGTTCATATCTTTCAAAAAGCCACAGACAATTCAAAATGTTTGCTCTGCTGCTGTTTACCTCCCTACCCCTACATGGTCCTCCTCTGCCTCAAACTCAAGGTGAGTAAGAGGCTCAGACGGATGTGGGCAGCTGCTTTCAGGCTTATGAACATCTTACCCCACTGGCACACTGCCCTCCTCTGTGTGTGCTAATTGGGAAGCAGAGAGGCCATTGTTCCAAGGAACAACCTACAAGCATCACAGCTGAAGTCTTTGGGTGGCCTGGTTTGGTGTGCAGCCAGCAGAACTTGTTGCCTGGAGTGAAGTGGCAGGGCATCACCAAAACATTTCAGCTGGTGGGATGGGCAGCACCCTGGTTTTCAAACCTAGCCATGTCCCCACTGGGGTAGGGGGCACCAGGAGTCTCCCAGACCGGGCCCGCTGGAAGGGGGCTGTTCTGGTAGTTAAGAGAGCAGGGGAGCAGGGGAACCAGTACATAGGCAGAGTGTGGACCCCTCACCTACCCACAGGTGGGCAATCTCAGCCACTTGTAGCCTTTCCTGTTCCTGCAGTTCATGCACTTTGGAGCCCAGTGCCTCCAGCTGCTTCTCAAGCTGTTCCTGGGAGGGAAAGAAGGAGGAACAGTCTCTCATCTGGAATGCATTGGATCACTCTTTACTGCATGGCTGGGACTCTCTGTCTGGGCAAGGCTTGGGGGCACCTGTGTAATTCACTGTGTTAACCCAAGGGCAGCTTGCGTGGACCTGATTTATCATAAGGTGAAGTGTGGTCACATTCACTGGAGGGATTTGTCAGTGCAATGCTCCTGAGGAGGAGGAAGAGGCAGGAGGTGGCTCTGCCTGCAGAGTTGGGTATTACATCCAGGTCTGGGGTCCCCATTGTAAAAAGGGATGATGTTAAATTGGGAAGGGTCCAGGGATGTGCTGAAAGAAGGATGCAAGGGCTGGAACAAGTGCCAGCATTGCCTGAGGAAGCTTATTCAATTTATCCCCAATGAATTTAAGTGGTGACAGGATCCTGGTTTATGCACAACCCCCGCTTACTGCTGAGAGGGGAGGGCTCCATCACTGTAGTGATAAAAGTTTTCTAGTTTGGAGACAGTCCCTAATTCGGAAAAATTGGGAACTGGGAGATGGTCTCTCAGTGAAGTAGCTAGTTGGCTGTTTGGAGTCAGAGAAACCAAGGGACTGCAGAGGTTTGTCTACAGCTCCACAAATAAAGGCTATTGTTAGTTCTTCTCATTCAAGTACACCTGTGCTTTTTGAACCCAGTGATCACTACAGTAACCTCACAGACAAAGGCAGAGTGAGAACTGCTGGCTGGGAGCTGAGACAAATTCAGGATGGAAATAAGGGGTCAGCATTTACTAAGAAGGGTATCAGCCAGTGGGAACAACTCCACTAGGTTCTCCATCATGTGGAGTCTGTAAAATTAAGATTGATTGTGTCTGTACAAGCACTGCTCCAGCTCAGCCATCAGATGTCCAGTTGGATGCAGGGATCTCTCTGGGAGACCCTGTGACCTGGGTTACGTGGAAATCTGGACAGAATGGTCACTGTGGGACATACAAATACCTATGACTGTCTACAAGGATGGATCCAGGATTTGACAGAGGGGTATGAGAGCAACCACCCATGCTGCAGGGGTGGCTGCACTCCTGCTCCCAGCTTCTTCCCCACAACCCACCTGTGCAGGCAGACCACACTGCAGGAAATTATGGGGACTTTTTAAAGTTCCTAAAGCAGGTAACCATCCCCCATTTCCCCTCTGTGCTTAGAGGCAACTCCACTCGCCTTCCCTCCCTTTCCATCCCCTCTCCTCCAGCTGTTGCTGTTTTCCCTGCTGTCCTGGTGGCAGGGGAAGCTTCAAAGCTGCTTCTACCCACTTGAACTGGACTGCACAGGGGCTAGGCTTAGCTGAGAACAGTGGCAACAGCAATGAGGAAGGGGTAGGTTCCCCCACACTGCCCCGTTTCCCCAGCAGCAGGTTTAGGAAGCCCATTTCCAGTGGGGCTGATGTGGGGATAGGAGGGAGAGTCTAATGCAACAGCACAGCACAGCACAAGAATGGCAAGCCCAAGGCCCATCTATCCCAGCAACCTGTCTGACTGGGACAAGTAGCAGATACTTTCCAAGTGGAGAGTAAGAAATAGGATACATGTTGTGTGACCCCCATCCCCTGTCAGACTCTACCTGTCACCTGCAGTCATGAGGGAAGGGATACTGTGAGGCCCCCCCCTTGACTGCTTGATGGACTTCTCCCCAAGCCTACCTTCCCCTTGCAGAATCTGGTACTCTGTTGGTCAGCAGTAGAATACTATTGGCCCTCCATAGTGTCTGAACATGAAGTTGGGGCTAGCACCTCCAGAGCCAGGCAGCTGAGCTGTTTTGCCAGCATGGCCTCATATGGTGAAGGTCCAGGTGGCATACAGGAGACCCCTCCTTGCCTTTCTACTGCCCTCCAGTGTGTGTGTCCCTGGGCTATACCTCTCTGTAGGAACAAAGGACCCCAAGATCCATCTGGGAGGGGGCAGGGTGTTTTCACTGCAGCCTCCTGTGCTGTGTGGCATCCATCTGTCTGCGTGGGGCAGCATCCTGTGCTGTTGTTCACTCACCTTGTAGCTGCGCATAGCATCCTGAAGGGATGAGAAGCTGTGGCCAGCATGCCCAGGGGTGCCCACACAGACATGGCAGATGGGGGACTCATGGCTGAGGCAGAAGAGGCTGATGGGCTCTCTGTGCTCCTTGCAGCTCTGGTCCTTCACCTCCCCCACTGGTACCTGCTGACAGCCTTGGGCTTTGCTCACCAGGTTGGACAGTGCCTGGCTGGATGCCAGCCGGGGCTCCAAGTAGACAGCACGGCACTGGGGGCAGGAAAATGGCCCATCTGTTAGTGGTGCCCAGTACTGGGTGATGCAGTCCCGACAGAAGTGGTGGCCACACTCCAGCAGCACTGGCTCTGCCAGGAGCTCCAGGCACACGGGGCAGGTCAGCTCTGCCAACAGGTCCTCTAATGATGCCATGGTAGGTGCTGCCCTGGGAATGAGATTGGTAAGTGGGACTTCCCACAGCCTGGGCACTCTGGAGCACCCAGTGCTTCTGAAACAAATGGCAGGTGGGTCTGCTCTGCACAAAGAGCCACAGGTTGGAAGAGCCATGGGTTGGATCACACCTTGGTGGGAATGTGCCATGGGCACTGTGCCAGGCCAATCCAGCCGTGGATGCTCCACTCGCTAAACAGCACACTATGGGCCGGGGACCCACAAGCATGGGGGTTTTGTCTTGTTTCTGCCTTGCCTCCAGGAAGCCCTGCAACTCCCCTTAGCACTGGCTGGTACTGGACAGACTGTGAGCAGAAGGAATAATTTGGTGGGGTCTAGCACTGCAGTCCCACCTGCCTGTGACATCATCATCACTATGGCATCTAGCACTGTAGTACCACCTGCCTGTGACATCATCATCACTATGGCAACAGTCCCATGGCATTGCAGCCATGTACTCCACCCCACAGTAACCAGCTCAATAGCATCCATGGCATGGCACACCAACCCATTGTATCTCACCTATGTAGCACCCATGACCCTGCACCACACACCCTGACACCCCAGTCCTGCAGCACCCATTTCCTTGCACCCTAACCTTACAGCACCCAGGGCTTTACATTCCAACTCAATGCACCCCACCTCTGCAGCACCATGGCTTTTTTCCCATCCCATGGCACCCAACTCTGCAGTATCCATTGCCTGACCACATGTTGTGCTCATGTTCCCTGCCCTCCTACCTCTGCATCTGTGGAAGTCAGCACTCAGCACAGAACAGCCCAATGTTTCTCCATGGTCTGCTAACACATGCTATATGTGGCTGTGATCCCAGCCCAGCTATGGGTGGGGACAGGGTTTGTCCAGTCACTGTAGCACAAGGGGTTCCAGGTATTTTCTCAGTTTATGCCACATACAGGCTGAATGGGCGGTAGAACCAGCTTTGCTAGCAAGACTGGATGGGCTGGCTCAGCCATACCCAAGGGCACAGAGCATTGTGGAGTGGTTCAGTGCCCCCAGGGGAGGCCCGCCCTGCCCTGTCTGTCACATATAAACCCATGCTTCTCTCAAGTTCTCCCAGTGGGGCACTTTACTTTTATAAGAGTTTCTTTCTAATTTGATAGTTCCATGGTGACTGGATAATTTTGTTTGAAGGGGTATTTTACCTTATAAGGAAAATCATATGAATGTGAAAACAGGGTCCACAAATATTGCTATCTTTTCTAAATTTGTGACTCAATGGTGTCATATTTGGGGTGTTATGCCTAGTGTTCCAGGTGGACAAAGCCCCCAAATTTTCTCAAATAGCTTGTAATAGTTAGTTTTGTTGTTAATGATGTTTATAGTTTTGGTGTTAGTTGACCTATTCACTTCTGCAATAAAGCATTTACTCTATACTTTCAACAAGTTAAAACCAGTTTGCAAAATAGCCCTTCTCTTAGCAAAGAGAAATAGACTTGCTTACACAGGACAAAACTCACTCATGCTAAGGCCTAAAGTAGGCTTAAGACCTCATAACAGCACCTTATAGGCAGACCAGGCTGGGTCAAGGAGATATATCAGTTTGATGGTGCATGACTGGACCAGGGACATGATGAGGCTTCTAGAGCTGAAGCCTGGTACCTCCTGCTGCAAGGCCAGGTTGTGGACCAGGGACTCCTGCAGCAGGCCTGGAGATTGCAGGTGCCTGGCCTGGGGTCTCAGGTAGAAGGAGGGTCAGGCCTTCTGCCCAGACAAGCCTACAGCAGAAGGGTGGGATGGCATCCTAAACAAGGTGATCAGGATACAAAGGGAAAAGTTCTCAATCAAGGCCTTCCACCTGATGCAGCAATACAGACCAGTCTTTACCAGGCATTGGCGATGCATAGGGGGGGCACGTGGGTGCACATGCACCCCCTGAGATTGGCTGTGCCCTCCCTGAGAGAAGTGCTGGTGGCACTTCTGGGCTTGCTGGTGGCACTTCTGGTTTTGCCACTGGTACTAATGCCGTCCATGGCGATTGCCCGCTGGGGGACCCCCCTCCCAGTTGGCGATCAGCTACTGGTGCCCCCTGCCCAGTATTAGGAGGCACCAGTCACCCATGTTACCAGGAAAAGTGTTCACCAGCAAAAAGAAGGTGCTGACAGCTCGCACATGGAAGCCAGTCACCCTGCTCACCAGGTCAATCAGGCCCTGAACCCCGTGACTTTTGGCCAGGTGGAGGACAGCCCACTGAAGCCAGTGGTGTCCATCCTAGAAAAAATCCATGAGGAGATTCTAGAGCAGGGGTGGGCAATTATTTCAGCTAGAGGGCTACTTCACGTGTTTTGGTGAGTTGTCAAGGGCCGCAAGGGTAGCCCTGCCCCTTGATAGGTGCCCCATAGCCCTTGATAGTACCACCTAGTAGGTGGTAAGACAGTTTACTGCACTTGCTACACTCTGAAACCTAATGATTTATTAACTGTCTAAATCTATCATTATATTTTCTAATAAATGGTTGAGTTCACCTGGTTCTCTGAACTCTCTCCTCCTTGGCTCCCAATCTGTGGGGGACAAAGGATGCAGGGTTGTAACAGGGAGATAAAAAACCAAGGTAGTTGAGAAATACTTTTGGGAGAATGAGAGGGAGGAGAGCAGAAACATTCCCCCAACCCAAAGAAATGGGGAGTGTCTCCTGAGATCTAAACCTGCCCAAGTCTCCTGGACAGGGAAGCCCTTAGGGAGGATAAAAAGGAACATAGGACCCTTAGGTGATTTAAAATCCTTTCCCCTTATTATGCTGTGTGTATCAGGGCACTGGGGTGTATCTGCTCCTTGAAGGAAGCTAGTAGCCTGGTACTAGGGCCACTTATGGTTCTTGATTGACTCATGGATTTGGAATTGATTTGGCTGATTTGGACTGGAACATGAAACATTCTCTTAAAAGAAAAAAAAAGAGCTCCTGGCAGCAGGGCTCCTGAAGGGACTGGAGTTTATATAAACAACTCTGCAGGCCTGGGAGCAAAGGCAAGTCCCCAGGGCAGAGAAAGACTGAGTTTTACAGGCATGTGGCTTTTGTTTTATTTTGAACGCACAGAGAGTCCAGGCCCCGGGGAAGGGCTAAGCTTGATCAGAGGGTCCCGGAGCCCAGAGAAGGAGTAGTGTGCGGGGCCCGGAGAAGGGGAGGGGTGCAGGGCCAGGGGGATCCAAAGGCCCAAGAGGGCCGAATGTGTGAATAGGTATCATTGGAGACAGAGAACACTTGTGAGGCTTGGGGCATGCTGCAGGAGAGGTATGGAGCAATGCAAGGAGTCCTTAAGGTAAGAGATGCCTGGCAGGGTTACAAACAGGCTGAGAGGACCTGCTAGTTGGGGCACAGGACAGTGACTTAGGGGACCCAGGAGAGGCCCAGTGGGGATCGACCCAGGCTCGGGCTCACACAAAGCCCACAGGCAGCCTCCCGTTTATAACCTTCATTAAGAGCAAGGCATGGTGGGCAAGATTCAAGGGAAGGGCTGCAACCCAGCATGAGCCAGACAGAGGTTGCATGGCCACCAGGGGGCATCACGGCTGCCCCATGGCCACAGCCTTGCTAGGCTGCATTTCAAACAAGGGCATTAAACAAAGGCCACCCATATGGTTAAGGGCATGGAGGGTAGGCCCTATGAGGAGAGACTCCAGGAACTGGGCCTCTTCAGTCTGAGTAAGAGAAGGCTGAGAGGTGACTTGATAGCTGTCTACAAGTATGTCAGTGGGGAGCATCAAGAACTAGGACAGCAACTCTTCAGGAGGGCAGGAGGACAAGGACCAATGGGTATAAACTAATAAAAGGTAAATTCAGGCTGGACATAAGGAAAAACTTCTTCTCTGTAAGGGTCACCAGAATCTGGAACACACTCCCAACGGAGGTGGGGCAGTCACCCTCCTTGGAGGTGTTCAAGAGGAGGCTGGACAGGAACCTTGTTGAGCTCATCTGAGCCCAATAACTTTCTTCCCACGGCAGCAGACCAGACTTGATGATCTTACAGGTCCCTTCCGGTTCCGTGTTTCTATGATTCTAACAATCCTTAGGGGTCATTGCTGGGGGCCTCAGGTGTAAGTAGCACAGGTATTGACCTTGGCTTTCCTTGGAGGTGAGAAAAGCAGAGAAACCTGACTCTAGGATTAGAATGGAGCAGCCAGGGCTGGAATATAGCCCACTCCAGAGCAACTCAGAACTCCCCTTGCCTGAACAGGTGCTTCCTGACATTTCTGAATCTTTGCACCCTGTGGGGACTGGGACACATGGCTCTTCCTCCCATTGCTCCATGCAGTAAAGCAGGTTAGGTCTGGGACTGGGGAGTCCTGGCCATGAGAGACAAGTGGAAGGGCCAGGGTCAGAGTTAGGGTCTTGGTAAGACAATGGGTCTTACCATTGTGCAGCCCTCCCAGGCCAGGCAGGGCCAATCTGTGGGTTGCTCCTCCAGGCAGCAGCTTGTACTCCTGTGACGGTAGCCCCTACATCTCCCCCATGACATCCTCATTCCTCCTGCCCAGTTGATGTCCCCCAGGGACTGGCAGCTGGGCTCAGAACCCAGGCATCCATCCAGGCACCTGGGCTGAGACAAAGGCACAGGAAGATCCCTCCGCTATTGCCAGCTCTGGGCCCTGCTGCTCTCGCTGTTTAACCCCCTTTAGGTATGGAGAGGACTGAAGGCTGGCAGGATGGGATGGGGTGGGATTGTGCTAAACTGTCAACTAAGCGGGTGGGGGTGGGGCATGGGTTATTGCAGCTCAGCTGGGACACAGCCCAGGCATCCTGGTGCCCAGCTATAATTCATCAGACCCCACTCCTCTCCCAGAGCTGAAAGAGAACCCAGGTATCCTAACTCCCAGCCCCTGATCTAACCCAGCAGACCCCACTTCCCTCCCAGAGCTAGGGGGTAGATGGAGGTGAGGTCAGCCCATGGCATGGGGTCTTGGCAGGGGATAACAGAGCACACGAGGTGCAGGGGGTGCTGATGTCCAAGCAGAGATCATGTCAGTAGAGTACGGAAGCAGGTTATAGAAAGGCCCAGGGCAGGGTCCAGCTCTGGGGTCCCCAGGGGTGGGGTTGGTGTGATCCAACTGCTGCAGAGCTGAGGCAGAGTCACTCTGTACAGTAGCAGGTGGACAGGGCAAGATCTGCTCCCACAGTACAGGGGGGCAAGCCTTCTGCACCCAGATTGGATTGTGTCAGTTGATTGTGCAGGGGGGAGGAGCCCTGTAGCTGGGATGGGGCCAGCACTAAGCAACCCCACATCCAGAAGTATCCATCAGTCTGTTCAATGCCCAACGCAGGGACAGAACTCCAGACCCATTGGTTGTCAGATCCTCCCACACAGAAGACCATAGGAACCAACCCTTCCCCCAGTGCCATGAATGCAGCAGCTGGAGCCCGTACAAGTGCTTTCCACCATCTTCTTTATTCCAGAGCAGTTAGGAACAGACCCTTTTCCTCTCAACACTTCACACTGGCTATGAATACCTCACTGCATTTTGGGAGTACCACCTGTTATGTCTAGAGATACTCAAGGTGCATAGGAGGCATGTCCATGGATTTCTCCCTACTGGACCGAGTTGGCCACTCCCCTATTGATCTTCGGAGGGGAAGAGGGATCCATGGATTTTTTGAGCTCTGCTAATACAGGGGGTTGTATGGGCTCAGTTGGTAGAAAAAGGGAGTTGACTGGTAGGGGTGCAGACTGGAGTAGACATGGGTGGTGCACATACTGAGAAGTATAGAAATAAGTCCCCAACAGGGGCCAAGGAAACAGGAGAAAGTGGAGGGGCAAAGGGCACCAGAGGATAGAGGGAAGGGGTCTCACTCATCGGAGCTATTAGGGCTGCAGTGGGCGGATTGGTGGCTCAGGAACAAGTCCCCATAGGGCCGGGGTGAGGCAAAGGCCTGGCTAGGCCGGGTTGTAGGTAGGCCCAGTGCTCCCCCAGCTGCAGCAGTAGTGGTCACCACAGTAGTGACACCTCCATGGTCCCTCTGCTGCTGCTCCTCCTCCTCCTGGGCACGACGGAGGAAGGCTTGGAAGTTGGTGGCAGCTGAGTCATCCGGCAGGCCCTGGGGCATTTGCCCATCACCAGGACGACAGACCTCGAACCGCACCCAGCGGTAGGCACTGCACTTGCGGGCCCCGGGGCAGCTCTGGATAAGGTTATGCACAGCCGGGTGTGAAAACCCGAAGAAGTCGGCCCCAGCTGATTCTAGCTCGGGGTAGGGCCGATCCCGGGCAGCCCCAATGGCTGCCAACAGCTGGGTGTGGCAGGCATCAGCTGTGGGGCCTGCCAGGGCACTACCAGGCTCATCCTCAGGCACAATCTCAAAGCGGGGGCCAGACCCACCATCCTTGATCTGGCAAGTGTAGAGGCAGCGCTGGTCAGGGTGCCGCATGCTGGCATACACCCGGGTGCTACAGAACCCCACTGGGTAGATGGCTCCCTCGTCATGGAAGCCTGGCCGGTCAGACACAATCTCCCCTAGGCTGTAGATCGTCAGCCCACCCAGAGTGATAGGGAACACTGGCCGCCCTGAAGGGTCCAGTGGCACAGGCTGGACCAGCCGCCGGACCGGCCTATCAGGTGCTGCTCCCCGCCGCTTGGAGGCACGGCGTAGCGCCTCTGCCCGCCCATTCTCTTTACCCTTCTTGGGGCGCTTCCCTGTGGCTGGTGTCTCATCCGGGCCAGGTGTGGGTGCCGTGCTGTACCCTGGTGGGCCACCCCCTGTTGGTGTCGTAGTCGTGTTGGTGGAACTAAGGCCCTCCTCCTCGGCTGTGAGGGCCTGGAGCTGGAGCAGCTTGGTGAGCCAGCCGGGCAATCTCATCACACAGTGCTGCATTTTCGAACACCATGGCCTTGGCTGCCCGGCGTAGCCGGCTGTACTTCAGCCGGTACTTCTCGTTCTGGCTCTTCCTCGACACTTTCGTCATCACCCCCAACGAAACCCTGCCCTCGTGCTCCCTGGGACCTGAGGGAACCACAGAACTGACAGATCTCTTGGCACCTACTCGAGCAAAGAGACCAGACAAAGCAGTTATAGTTACAGGCCCAGGCCTCTGAGGCCTGCCATGACCCAAAATAGAGACCCCTACCAGGCAATAGCTCCAGACCCCTGTCCAGCAATCCTCAGGGATTCCTCCATCCACTCACAACACAGCTCATACAAAGAGCTGTCCCTAAAGAGACAGATGCCAGGGATCCTTCTTTCCAATGACTGACTCTTCCCACTCTCTGTTGACCGCCAGCTCCAGATTTCCAGGCTGAATTTGTTTCTTTTCAGCTGAAAGCCAGTGCGTCTCACTCTGCCTTGGTCTGCTAGACCAGTGGCTCTCAACCAAGGAGTCTCAAAATGCTGTGGACAAATATGAAAGGGAACGATGCATAGCTCCCTGCCCCAAATATTCCCATGGTGCCAGGCAGTTAGTTGGGCTGAAATGCTATGCTGCTTTGCATCCGCTACCTCCCCAAAGGGAGCCAGTATGTCTCCTTCAACCGGGCAATCTCACTGCACAGTACTGCATTCGGGAACACCATAGTCTTGGGCGTATGGTGCAGACGACTGTACAGGTTGTGCCCACCTCTCTGATCCAGAGCTGCTCTGCAGTGCTGTGAGCACAAATAATCAGCCTGTGTGCAGCCTAAGGCTAACGCAGCCATACTGCACCTGGCTGAGGAAATCTTTGAATGCAAGAGCCAGCTTTGGTAACTGTGCACGACACTGTGTTGCACTGAGAGCGCTGGGGCTAACAGAGCTGCATTACAGGGACTGGGAATAGTCAGTTATTGGGAACAAGGATCCCTGGGCCACTGCTTGGCATCTGTCTCTTTGGGGACATCTGTTTGTATGACCTCTGTCATGCGTGGATGGAGGTAGTGGAATCTCCATCCTTGGAGGTTTTTAAGGCCCAGCTTGACAAAGTCCTGGCTGGAATGATCTAGCTGGGGATGGTCCTGCTCTGAGCAGGGGGTTGGACTCTTAAACTTTTTTGTTCCAGGACCCATTTGTAAACATTGATGGCCAGTCCCAACCCAGTGCCCCTCACTCCCGACCCACTTCCCCCCTGCCCCCCAGTGTCTGGGGCAGAGTGGGGTGCGTGTGGGGCATGGGGGCCCCCAAGCAACCCCTTGCAAGCTGGAGCTCTGCCGGCCTGCAAGGGAAAAGCCACCTTTGCCCATGTTTTTCTCCTTTAAAGAAGAATCCATTTTTAAAGTTTGTTCATGACCCTTTCATATATTCTTGTGACCCACGGGTTGAGAAATGCTGGACTAGGTGACCTCCTGAGGTCCCTTCCAACCCTAATTTTCTGATTCCTGCTCCTCAGGTACTGCCTGGCATGTGTAGGGAGCACGAAGGCAGATGCACCTCCAAATGAATCAACCTGTTGCTTTGCCGCAATTCAGGGCAGCCTGGAAGGGGGAGACCCACCCTGCTGGGTGCAGCGAGGACCTGTCACCCGCTCACCTCTGCCCCAACGCCGCCGGGGCGCAGGCTACCTGCAGGCCCTACATGGCAGCTGGGGGGACTCAGCAGGGAGAATCAGCCACCCTGATCTAACTTGTCCCGCTTCAGGGCTCCAACCAGCGCACAGCTCACAAAGGAGCCCATCTTAAGGCCAAAGAAGAGCATCCTCCATGGCTGGGAGAGGGGGGCTCGCAAGTGAGGCTCGCTCCACTCCCTGCTTTTCTTTCAATAAATACCCTGTTTTATATTTTAACCTGTACTTTTGTCTCCTTGTGCGTCTCAACTACAGAGAAAGTTAAGCCAGCCATCTCCACGTGCCGAGAGGGAGCCTAATACTAACCCAACCCTACTTGCTCACCGCCGGCGCGGGTTCAGGTCCTAAATCCGGCCCCATTACCATGCAAGAACTCCTCTAAACGGGCGCCGTGGGCGGCTGAAGGGCCTTGGGCAGGTGACGCGGCTTGATGCCCCACTTGGACATGGGGGGGCGCCGGGACCCTGCTGCAGACAGCTGCACAGTGCCCGGTCCCCGGCCCGGGGGCAGGTAGAGAACCCCGCCTCCTCCCCACCCCCCGCGCTCACCGCTTCCAGGCCGTGGGGCCGCGAGCTGCAGCTCGCCGGGGACAAGCACATACGCATGCGCGATGCCACCAGCCGGCTCCGCCCGCCTGTGCCAGGAAGTGCCGCCTGCTCCATCCGCGTCACCCGCCCCCGGCGCCGGTGCGGGCCTGGCGGGAGCCGCCCTCAGGGCCTCTCGGTCTGCCTGGGTCGCTGCTTGTGACGTGGAGCCCGAGACCCGGTGTCGAGCCAAAAGGCCTTCGCTCGGGCATGCACATCCGGGGCCTTGGGGTCCTCCCAAGGGTGCTGCCAGGCGGTGCCCGCAGTAGGAGTGGGCAGACGCGCTGCGCAGGGGAGCCCAGAGACAGGGATCCTTAGCGAGGGCGAAAACCCTTGGGACCCGATGTGGCCTTTCTGAGTCTTTGCCACAGAAGAGTTGCCCAATTATTTTTCTGGGGTCCAAAAGAAAGTGAAAACCAAGCTGACATTTTGCAAGGGGTGCCTCGAGTCTGAAGAGGTTGAGAGCCACTGCCTTGGCTTGACTGAGGGATGTTGTGATAAAAATATGTTATAATCTAGTCATTATGATTTTGCAATAACGTTTGTGTAGCAGCTGTGTGGTAAAAATGTCTCATCTCCCTACACAAAGGCTTCACAACTGAGAACTGTTTAGTTTC